AGGGCAGAGCTCCACAGCATTGCCTCTTCCTCTGGACCTCAATGCAGATAGATCTGGCTCTGTTACCCAAATCTGAACACTGGGATTAGCCTATAAAACCAGATGAAGCATCTGGGGTTCTCATAAATCTCCTGTGCTTGCCTCTGTGAAGATGCTGGCTGGAGGCCCCTCACCCTCTGGATTGAACCTGCTGGTCCCTGGCTAGCCTGGTCCACATGAGAAGCCTGAGAGGGAGTAGAAGGGAAGAAGACTGCCTGCTACAGCCTTCCACACTAGGTTGAGCAGGAAGGCAATCAAGTTTCCTAAGCAGTGTAACAGATGACAAGGTGTATATTTATACCAGATACCCACATACTTTGGGTGAATTGTGCAACATGAGATTTGTCATCATGCATCAGATCACTGGTGTATCTAATCCAAAACCATGGCTCTGACAATGTTGGGAGAGCTGAGCTGCCTGCAGTGATGTACCTTGTCAACTGTGCAAAGCAGGAACAGAGAGTCTGGGATTGAAATTCCTCCCCAGTTCCTCCAGCAATCAACTGGTACCCTGACTGCTCTTATTATCTGAGCAGGCAGAGCTGCAAATATAAATAATCACAAGATTAGGCAGCCTTCTAAAGACTAGTACAACTGCAGCACGCATTTCTGGGCTGCCCCTTGGGCTGGATATGTTTTGAGTGGGATAATGTTTCATGCTGATTTCATCTTGCTTTCCTCTGTTAAATGATTCTTGGGCCAACTGCACTCTGGATGCCTGCAGTGGAGTTTTACTCCAGTGCTGGAAGTGACCCATAATCTTTTACAGCGCTCCTAGAATCATCTTCTATGCCCCCCATGATCTCCCTATTCCTTGCACGCTTTTTTTTTGTTGTTGGTGGTGGTTTGCTTTTTCTATCTTCTTTGCTGCAAGGGAATCAAGCCATTCCCCTGCTCTGGGTGTGCTTGCAGGCAGCTGCATTCTGAAATGGTGCTGCCGCCTTTGTGTTTGCAGTGCTGTCATCACCTCTTGATCAGCCCATGGGTCAGTTGCTTTGCTTTGCTGGTTTTGGCTTCTGTCATTTACAGAGCAGGACTCTCCCCTAAGCTGTCTGCAGAGGCTTTTGCAACACTGCCTTGAATGGGTACAGATCATTTCAAACTTGGTAATGTGAGCAGTTATTGGACTGCTTCTTTACAGCCTGCATAGCCTGACTCTCTGGTCAGAGCAAGTGTCCCCTGCTCTTGCCCCCTTGGCTGTCTCTCATTTTTAGGTCTTCCTGGAGGTCTCTGCTCTCTTTACCTTGTAATGGGTGTGGAAATAGCTTTTACTTGATCCTCCTGAGTATGACTAACAAAATGGTCTTTGCTGGCATTGCCTCCTTATACTGAGCACCTCCTGTTTGGAGAACTTCTGTTTATCCTCATTCCTTAGAAGCTCTCAGAAAAGTCAAGTCTGGCAGGGCTGTCCTCTGTGTATGGCCTCTGCTAGCTCCTGGTGTGATTTCAGTCAGCGCTAGCATGTAGTCCAACGACCTGAATTAGTCAGTTGTTCATCTATGGACAAATCCCTTCCTGCTTGCACTGTGACCTGCAGAAAGAGGACCAGGGAGGGGGAATCCTTCCTTTGCTCTGCCATGGAGTCTCAGGCATGAGAATTGTTTTATTTCTCTGCTTCTCCTCTTCCAAAGGCTTCTCATCCAGTGCACAGACTCTGCTGTGTTTTACCTCTGAAGGAGTCAGGGTCAGTTTTGGTCTTGGCCTTTGTAAGACCTGATCCCTGAAATCCCTGTAATGGCTCTTGCAGGCGTACCATGACTTTATGTCTCACAGTTGGTGTGGCACTGGGTCAATGCCCCTTCACGCTGTATGGAAGATGATCTTTGAGAAAACATCTGTCATATGACAGAAACCAATAGTGACTTTTGCTTCTATCCTTTTCTGCTTCCTTCTGTTTTGTAATCGATTCATTTGTTGGCATCTGCTTTTCTGTCTGGTGTATTCTCTCCTGCCAGTGGCCAGAGTAATCCCCTGCCTGCCAGCCTCTAATGTAGCAGGACTCAGAAGATGGTAGTGGGAGCTAGCAGGTGTGGAGTAAAGACCATCTCATTTGGGATGGGATATACTTCAGGGACTGCATCGACTAGCGTAGACAGATGCCAGAGCATCTAGTGATTTTTGCCAAATGTAGATTAGGGCACCGATCCTTTAAAAGCCCAAGTGGTTTTTCAGGCAAACCAAGCTTCTCAGAGTGTCCAGCAGCCTTCATATCCTTGCTGAATTGCCAGTGCCAACAGTTTGTGATGAGGCAAAAGTTGTTGGAGACTGTTGTTCAAAAATTGAGAGCATTGCGTTCGACCTGTCCTGGGCATCCCAACAAAATTGGGATTATTTTGTTAGCTTGTAAGGTATCGTATTGTTATGTGTCATGTGCCATGCTTGAAACAGGGCATGGATACCAGTCAAGCAGTGGGCGTGCTCCTGCAAAGCTCCCTGGATAGCATCCCCCAGTATTCCCACCTCAACCCCTAACTCACGTCTCAGCTGCCAGTATTAGCTTGTAGCCAGGGTAGCCTCATCCCCCAGTGCCTGACTGGACTTTGGTTACCCTACACTTCTAGGAGTGCCAGGAGGATGAGGACAGCAAGACTGCTGGGACCCCCTGAGACGAAGACAAGTGTCCACACATCACACACTTTGAGCCTTCCCACACCCTGCTGTGTATGAGGTCCTTCTCTGGTAAAACTTCAGCTCCTAAATATTCATGTCACTTAATTAGCATGTGTCTTGGCTCTCCTTAAGGTGGATTAATTGATAAAGAAAAAATTCCTGCTCAGTTGATTCCTGCTAGGCTTTACCTCACTTCACAGCTCACAAGATTGTGCCCCAAGTTTGCTGAGATCTGCCAGTGTCCTGGGCTTTGGACTCTTTGCTCAAGCTCTAGAGCTGCTGATGTGTTTGACCAGACAAATCTAAGGAAGCAACAGCTATACTAAGTCAAGTGTCCCAGGCCAACACCTTAGTGATTTTGCTTTGGGACTCACTTTTGCTGAAGGTCGGTCTAAGACATAATAAATCCTGCAGCATCTTAGGCACCAGCTTCCACAGAGATAAGATTCTGCTAGAGAGCAAAAGTACATTTCCAGTTCTCCTGGGTGAGAAGTAAAGCTTGGCTCTAGGACTGAGTGTACCATTGCTCATACTATCTGCTTGAGCTTGCAGAGAGCCTGAAATGGGAGGTCTGAGAGTTGTTTTGCTTCCTCCTCCCCTCCAAAATGGGAAATCTCATATACTGACAACCAAGATAACACGGTAGTTCTGCATCATCTTAAAGTAGTGAGCCTTGATTCAGTGGGAACAGCAAATACTTCCATTACAGAAGCCCAAAATATCAAAAATGCTAATGAAAAAAAACACTAAAGCAAAACTCTTTATTATAAAGGGAATCAGATTTTATTTTTATATCCTTGAAGTTAAAAATATGCATTTCAAAATATTTACAATGACTATATATGAAATAACCTTTGTTAATGAAACAGCAACATACAGTACTAGAATATATCCACCAGACTGATAAAGTCTACATAAGAAGAAAATGTAACAGAAAGAGAAAGAGAGAGAGCGAGAGAGAGAGAGAAAGGTAAATAGCATCCATGCACAATCTTCACTTGTGTGGTTTTTTTATACTCTCTGTCTTTCAGTTGTGGATGGAGTCACAGGAAGTTTTGACCTCCTGTTCCTTATAAATGCCACTTGCGACTGAGATTCCTTGACCTGGCAGAAATTTGTGGGTTGCAGCAGTACCAGTGCCTTTCTCATGCCAGCCTTTCAGATGGGGACCTCGTATTACAGAGTAGACTCAAAATCTCTAAGCAATCCTGGGAGGTAGGTATAATTTTACAGAAGAATTTGGCAGATGGAAAAGCACCGGGTTAAGGGACTGGCCTAAGGTTGTGCAGCAAGGAGCAGAACTCACAAGCCCTGCCTCAGTCTCTCCAAATCTCTCATTAGGGAGTACATTTCCTCTGCTAACCAGTTTCATCTGCCTTTGAGATGAGCTCTGTCACAAAGTGGGGCTCTCAAAACCATGTCCTGGATGACAATGTGGAAAAAAGACCCTGCCTACCAATAAGGACTTGTCTCAGTAAGATTTGCCATGTTGTGGTGCTGTTACCACATTCTGGACCTGAACAGAAGATTTTAGTGTATACACACACCCAAATGATTCCCTCCCCACATGTGCATCATTGAGCAATACCATCCTCTGTAATTAGGAACCCCTGTGTATCTTCACCCCACATCTTCTCTCTCTCTCTCTCTCTCTCTCTCTCTCTTTCTCTGCTGTCATCACCAACACTTGTATATTTGCCCTTCCTACCTGAATCTGATTCAACCATGGGAATGTCAAATAGTAAACAGATCAGGGGGAAAAAAAAAAAAAAAAAAAGCTGTCTTATTTCTGTAAATATTTTTAATATTAATGTAATCTGATTTCTATTGGGTTGCTTCCTAATTTAAAGTCTTTAACTTTCCCATGTGTATATATATATATAAAAATGTAACAAAAAGCCCATCCCATTTGTTTCAATGGACAAAAAAAAGGGGTCATAAGCCTCACTGCCCAACCCCCAAGGCACACTGAAAGGTAAGTGAGAAGGGCTCTAGGAAGGGAAAAAGATATAGCCCTTGTTTTTGTGGTGCACTTCAATCATTGCTGCTGAGCTTGAAGCTTTGTGAAGGTATGACATAACTTTGCAAGAAAGGAGAACAGCTGTGTGGGTCACCCTCAGATTTCTGGTGCAACAGCCCCAGGAGTGCTAGATCAGTTGGAGCTGTTTCTCCCTCTCTTTAGTGAAGGGGTTTCTGAAGATTCTAGCTTTGTTAGTGATTTTTCCTTGGTGGTGGCAGTGGTGATGATGGTGGCTGTTTCCATCTTTTTCTATTGGCCCAACATTTCTCTCAGCAGAGTGATTCTTCCCCATTCCCAGTAGCCAACCCTCTCCCCTGGACTCCCATCAGCCTTATTTTTTCCTAAGAACAAGATAGAGGATGCCAATAATGAAACTGAAGCAAAAGCAGATCCAAGCCAATATGAAGCAGTAGCCATGGTGAGAACTTGTGAACTCGGGCATCTTGCCTGTGAACCGAGCCGTGTAAATTGAGACTCCAATCAGAATGCACAGCCCTGTGGGAAGGAAGGGAGGAAAGAGAGAGAGTTGGAAAACAAACAGAAACCAGCATTGCTACAGGGCTCCTGAAATCATAGAAGGGTTTCTGAAATGCTATTGTCCCCTGAGATGGTAATGCATGCCTTGTGCCATATGAGAGAGGGGCTGCTGCCCATTAGACTTATTTATGGAGGATTTCTCTTGCAGACATGATAAGACACTCAGGGCTTGTTTAGTGGGTGTCATGGGGCGTAAACCTTTGTTAGGAAGAAATCGGTAATAAGATCTGGACAGTCTGGTGCTACATGTTGAATCCCATGAGCAGTAGCTGTGTAACTGTTTACTCCCCTGCCCCAAAATATACTTTAATCCTTTCTGTTGTCTTTCAAAAAGTGTTTTGTAAAACCCACTAGGATTCCAAAATCTGGAAATATTTTCATTATATACAGAAAAAAAAACAACCAAACAAAAAACCAAAAAAAAACAAAAAACCAAAACACCCCAAAACCCAAACCCAACCAACTTTCCAGTTCCTCAGTGCTTTGTTTTATCAAAAAAATGAGCCACTTGAAACTTTTAGCTGACTGCCAACCACTCCTGATGGCCTTACGTGGCAGACGTGTGGCTACTTGCACTTGCAGAGGCAGTGGGACGCATGCAGAGCCATTGCAAGGCATGGATACTTACAGCAAACCAGCATGATGGCTCCAGTGATGTAGAAACGTTTGCCTTTCTCCAGGGTGAATAGCTGGACAATGAACATGACAAGCGCAATGACGGAGAAAATGATCGAGAGGATCATAAAGGCTTGCACGGCTTTGAGGGAAGCTGTGAACACAGAGGGAATAGGTTTGAGAAGGTCAGGACTCAGCCTTGGTATTGTGCAAAAATGTCCTGCAATTCATCACCACCACAGTAACTTACCCTCATCATCACTGTTGACTAGCAGCTGGTCACAGGTCCTGTTGCACCGTAGCCAGAGCCCTGTTGAAGCTGATCCAAAGTTGGAAGAACCTACCATCCAAACCTGAAACAGGAAGAAACAGTTGTGTGTCGGGGGCCGGGGGGATGCCTTGCTTTTGTGTCCAGTTGTCAGCCTAAACTGTAAGGGGAGCAACAGCAGCCCAAGTACCACGAGACAGAGGGCTGGAACAGCCAGCATGTGTTGGCAGCGGACCAACAGCCAAAGAGGGTGGGAGATGACACAGGCTCCCCAAGCCAGGAGGCGCTGGGTCCAGTCAGAGCACCAGGGAAGTTAGTTCCCATGATCAGCGGGAAGTCACTCAGATCATCCTCTCCCCAGGTGAGGCAGCAGGAGGGCACAGTGAGGCAAGACAGCTGCCAGGAGGAGTGCGAGGGGCCCCTGAAATCTGCCTCAGCAGGGTGCAGGGGTGCAGTGGCCTGCTGCCCTCCATACAGACAGAGCTGGCTGTGCTACAGCCTGCTGGACAGGAGGATAAATACTGCCACAGAGCTGTCATCTGCTCATCTCCCCAGCTCCTCATTGCACGCTCTCAGATGAAGTGCTGAGGTGCTGCTGGCTCTGGGATTTGGGAGTACCACCTGTAGCACCCAACTGCCTCTCTGTGTCCTGAGCACACCTGTCACTGCTTCATATTTACTCACGGCCATGAGCTGGTGTCCTTCACCTACAGACCTGAGCGCCCACCCACCTGTCCCCTGCCAGCCGTATAAAGGGCTGGCTACTGCTGTGGAAGGCAACAACTGTGTCTCATCCAAGGTGGTCTCTACTTACGTTGGCTATGGTGGAGACGAAGAGCATGATGACAGTGGCGATGTGAACCACAAAGATACCAGCCAGTAGCACCAACATCTTGGGTCCCTTTTATGTGGCGTCACCAATACAGAGAGCTCTGGAGGAAAACAAAAACAGAGGGAGGAGGTAAAGGGAAGGGCTGAATCAAAGAATAGCATTACTATGAGCTTTATTTACATGCAAGAAAACAGGTTGACCTCAAATCCATTCTGGAACCATGTAGTCACAAAAAAACATTGCTAAAACCTTTGTCAAAATCAGCAAGGGCATTGCTCAAGATGCTAAAGAAAGCCTGGAGGTAAAGGAACCTGTTTGGGAGGAGATGTAGAGCAGGGGTAGTTAGCTTGGGGGCATTTTTAAAATAGCTTGAGTATATACACAGGTTGCTTAAATTAGTGTGTGATTATGTAAAGTAAAAATTACATACTCCAGGCTCACACTCCAGGAAGAGGAGTTTTTGCCCACAGGATTCACAGAGGTCAGGAAAGATTTTATTTTCCTGTTTTCCCTTTTCCCTCTTGTGGCACAGCCTCCTGTAGCTGATCTGGGATGTGGACAGGTGGTGTGGAGTGGAGGACTGGGTGTTCCTGGGTACATCAGGTGTTGAGCAGTGGTGGAGAGTGAACTGGGGGACTACCCCTACTCAATGGTCCACTCCATTATGTGAACAGGAGAATAACCAGAACAGAAATGCCACTGAGGTGTTCCGGGGCAGAGGAAGATGCTTTAGGATTGCAATGAAAACTGCTGGTTTCCCTTTTAAAACTTGAGGCATGCAGATCACTTTATAACTGCTATAAGATTCTCTCGTAATGCAAATTCCTCTTTGGTTTGTTTGGGGGTTTTTTGCCTCTGTACCCTGCAAGCTTTGACTTTCTGTAAGATTCTCTGTCATTGATGAACACGTGATTGGAAAGGGAGGGGAATGTCCTTTAGATACCTCTCATGACACTGTTCATCAAGGCTGCTGACTTTTCCCCTGAAAACACGAAATACAAGGAACAAATCTAAGCTGTGAGAGTGAGTGCAGACAATTCACACAAAGTGAGTGAGCATATTTCCTCTCCTTCCAGGTGTTTATTAGTAATCATGCAGAATAGCCACAGAAATCAGGCAGAAGAGTTTACTGGGTCCACTCTGTGATCAGTTGCTTCCTAGAAAGTTTCACAGAGCTGTGTTGCTCTTGCTTTTGGTAGTGCTGGTACTGAAAAGCAGTATCAAGTATGTGATTAGTGTTGGCTGTGAAGTTATTTTGGTCCAGGTGACTCAGGTAAGGTTTGATGCTGTCACCATTTGAACAGGGTGTGGTAACATGGTCATGGAACAACACAATTATACTTTATGATGTCTTTCACACAAACTGTAACAAAAGGCTTTATAAAGTCCCATAAATGTGTCTTTTTTTTACTCAATGACTCCACCTTCTCCACTCCTGTCTCTCCTCTCTTTGTGGCCATGTGTGGGAGTGTATTCCTGTAAAGTGCTGCAGCTATTCCTTGCACTGCTTTGGATACAGTTTCCTAAACCATAGTGGGCAGGCAGGCTTCTTCATCAGTGGCTCTTTGTTCAGTTCAGCATTAGCTGATAACCAGGAGGAATTCCTTGAGTTCAGGATCTCAAGGAACCAGCTCTGTTAGGTCACACCTCCCACCCAAATGAGGCCACTCTTTGGAAAGACAGAGTAGGTCTAATGGTTGGTCCTATCTCCTCAGCAAGAACTTGTCCACTATGAGGTTTCCTTCACCTGGGAGAACTCTCTGGAGTTGTTTAGCCCTGGCTTGCTGAACATGGGCTGGGCTTGCTTGTCTGCTTTGTGGTGTCCTAGCAAACTCCTCGTGCTCTATGGCTTGATTTGCCTGGATGGCTTGGTCATTGTGCCCTTTCTTCTCACAGTACCTCTCTTAATGATGATCTTGGAGAAAGCATAGCCTTCTTAGGATTTTCTCTCTGACTGTAGTGACAGTCATTTATGAGTTCAGCATTGCTAAAATCCAGGTTCTTTATACTATATGGAGGCTGCCACATGAACACACCTGACCTGAGCATTAAACTCTTTCTTTCCACTGACTGCAAAAGGAACAAGGGTTTCAACATGCTGGATGGCAACGGATATGGATATCGTCACTGTACCTTGAGCTGAGAAACCATCACTGTTGCCATAACTAAGTTATATATCTGCAGCAAGTGCCTTGAATAGAGCCTCTGAGTCAAATCTTCCTTTTTTCCGATTACCTTGGTTCTTATACAAACTATAATGAGTCCTCCTGCCACCAGAGTGTATTGGTATGCATACACCAAATTGCAGCAAATTTGCCTGCTCCAAAATTTGCCTTTACTGAACAGTGGCTAAACCTTCTTTTTTTTTAGATGGACATATTTTTTTCCATGGCCTCTTTAAAAACTAATTCAGGAGGTTTTTTGCTGATTATTTTGAGGACCTTCAAAAAAGCCCTGTACCTGAAAGACTAAAAACCTACTTTCATGACACCCTAAAGGACTAGAACAGTCCTTTAAAATGCATCTTCTGTTTGCATTTAGAAGTTAAAAGGAGGGAGAAATGTTACCTTTCAATGTAAAAAAAAAAAATCATAAAAACACACACACCCAGAACTTCGACCAATACACTAAAAAAAAACCCCAAATCCTTTATTCCCTTTGCTTTTTCTGCCCCATTCTTTCACTGCTTGAGAGCACTGTTAGTTCAGGTGCTTTCAGCGCACCTACTTCCTGAGAATGTCAGTGCCTCTCCCTGAATACACACGCTATCAAACGCAACCCCCCCAGGGATATGTGCTCACAGCTTAAGTTTTGATTCTTTGTGAGTTAAAGCACAAGCCTCCCTCTCTATTCATTTGCTTTCCCCTCCCTTCATCTCTCCCTGCCTTTTAAATAAAACACTAGAGAACAATCCCAAAGGAGCGGTGGGTGAACGAATAGCATTGAAATAGAGTCATTTCTGTCTGTTGGTACAGTATGGACTTTTCCTCCCGTTAGACAGAGCAGCTGGCAGAGCATTGGTGACTGACAGGATACTCTTTCCATTTGCTAAGTGTGAGACATCTTTCTCCGTTACAGGGTGGGGTCACATTGCTGGAGCAGTAGGACACAATCGCATGCAAAGGCCTTTTCTTCCATTCCCCTACCTAAACTGCAGCTGGACTTGGAGCTCCTCAGGCTCTTCTTGGGCTATGAGTCAGTCTTAGCCTTCCTAGAGCTGCCAGTTTTTTCCACTGACTCACCCCAAAGCTCTCAAAACTGCAATTATTTAACCCTGCAAATGTTCAGGACACTCTTAGCAGTTTTAGGACTGCTTCTCAAGAACCAGTCAAGGAACCAGGTTGTAAATCCTGCATTGAGCCTCTTGGCACATCTTCCAGAGGGGAGACCCCAGCTAAGCCAAGAAAAACAGAGAAGAGACATAAGAGTAGAATGACTACTGAGGTAGGACAGGCTGATGGGGCAGAAGGAGTGAAGGTCATGCACCTGCTGACCAGCCTGTGTGAGTGAAGAGGAGATCTTGCACTGATGACAGCAGACTGAGTTTCCTTTTCCTGGGATCATGGATGAGGAGAAATAACAAGCCACACCAACAGTAACTGTGAATAACAATCACCATAGCAGCCTCCAGCACAAAAAAGCCTACAGATAAGCATGACAGACTTATCTGTGTATAGACTATTTCTCTGACCATGCAGGAATACACATACTGGATAACAACACATAGCTTTGCTGCAGCTTAACAAGGCAAGCACTATTCATTAAAAATTAAAGCAATGTCTTCTCATGCAGGCAAAGTGTAGCCACCCATATCACCCCTCTGACTACTTAAGCATTTTGGATCTTTCTATCTGGAGGCTAATCTGGAGAAGTGAGTCCTTGCCCTTGGTTTGCTGCTTAGCAAAACATCAGGATGGAATGCAAAGTGCCACTTGGAGATACAACAAAGGCCAGCGGTGTGGTTCCTCAAATATACGGAGTGGGTTACTCAAGAGGGTAGGCCAGATTAGGTAGTGGTCCTTTGCTTCTGGCAGAAAGTGCACTGCAGTAAAAGGAGTAGAGGGGAAGTGTACAGGATGTTTCTGCAGGAATGATTGGGTTGTTTGGGGTGAAAAATCAGAGCACTTTCAACTAAATCTAAAATATTTCATCTCTGAAGTGTTGCTAAAGAATGTAGCTCATCTGACTTCCATTCCCATTCTCCTCTCTAAACTGAGGTTCCTGCTTGGGACTGCCTCTCCCATGCTGAGTTGGTGAGGCATATTGTGAGAGATACTGGCTGAGAGGAGAACTCAGCCAAAACCCTATAGTGTCCAAGGAGCAGAGGACATCTAAATTGCACTGTCTGTGAGCACTGTAGTGACCTCTGACTCCTCTAAAACTCCGGTTTTTGTCTGAAGTTCCTGGTGTTTGATACATTCAGTTTTTCAACAAGGGAAAGATGGCATTTGGGAGAAAAACCAAATGCTTTTGCCCAGAATGTCAACAAGTTTCACCTTAGATTGAAAGCAACTGACATGAAAGAAATTCTTCCTTCCCCAGCTGTCACCACAGAATATAAGGAATGCAGTAGTAAGTCAGAGCAGTGGTCTGTCTCACTCAGTATGCTGTCTCTGATGATGGCAGGAGGTCCCATATTTAAAGAAAGCACGCAAACTTGGCCACTGTCTGAGGGGGCAGAGAGTCACACCAGGAATACCAATGGTTCAAATCAGGGCCAAGACCACTTGGAAAGGAAGGGGAAAATTGGAGAGGGCAGGACAGAAAATAAAAATTATTTTCTATTGTTTGAGACAGCTACAAACTGCCACCTCTGCCACCACTGCATTCCTCAGGGGTTGCAAAGCCAACCTACAAATAGCAATGCTGCCATAGTGCTATCAGTAAGGGAATCCTCTGGGTGGGATAAACCCTTCTGCAGAATTTGTAGACCTCCCATTTGACTGAGCTGAGGCCCTGACTGCGCCTTAGCCCTGCTACAACTGCTCATCTTGTCATCGTGTGCAATATAAGCATGAGTCCTCATCGTGCCTAGGGTCATTTGCCAGGATGCAAAGATG